GGGCAAATTTCCTCAGTGGTATCCCAATGGGCTATTTCGCTTAGGAGGGAAGCTTTAGGTTCGTTGAAGTTTCTAGGGAGATGCCTAGCTCAGCTTTTGAGCGATGATTTGAGGAGTTGGAGCTTTCGCTACAAACGGATAACCAATGAAACCTTGGACGTGAGGGTCCAAAGAATTCCACAAAGATGGGGTAAGAGAAAGGATATCCGACTCTTCGACCCAAATTAATTCAAAACGGGCCACAAAGGGCCAAGTTAGTATCTAAAAGGATTGAGCAGCGGTCTGATGTCGGTTTAGGTAGGGTTAGAGCATTGATGCCACGAAAAAAGTCATCCCAGTCTAGAGAGATTAGGTATCGAGCGAGTCTAGAGTGGGAAGGATTTTGGGAGTGGTTGAACCAAGTGAAGGTCGCCCCTCGAAGAGGTAAGTCTAGTAGATTGTTTCTAGCCATGAACTCAAAGAAAGAGACCATGGCAAGGAAGAAGCTATGCTTGTTGTAGCGCTCAAATGACTACCTAATCACATTGAAGTCACATCCTAAGCACCAAAGGGAGTGCGAGAGGGAAGAGACTCAGTCCAATTCTTGCCAGAAAAGGTCACAGAGCGAGTACATGTTAGGGCAGTAGGCAGTCGTGAATTACCAGTTAGAGACCATCAGACACTCGAGAGAAGAGGGTTGTAACAAAGAACACCCCTATATTCGAGGAGGAGAGTGTGCGAAGGGTTAGGTCCTAGATCACCCATATTCCTCCTGAAGCACGCATTGCTAGTAAAGGGAGCCAACTACATAGTCGACCCCCAAATCTGGTGAATCAGAGGTAGATAGGGATCGGGAGACTTACTCTCAACAAGTGCTAGGACCATTGGGAGAAAAGAACGGCAAAAATGTGTTTGTTGGGGTCACCCAAGCCCCTCATATTCCATGTGAGGAGCTTCATGAAACAAGGGGTAAGAAGGGGGCCCTCCTGGATGGGCGAACTAGGGTCGGGGTGCCTGAAGGACTCAGTGTCGAGATCCTGAGAGGCAGGGGTGGGGGGTCTGATATTGTAGTTGATATCACATGCCAAATTGGAGAGCTCCCTCCTACCTTTGCGAGTGGTAGGAGCTTCACTAAACACAAAGTCTAGAACGCCTTTCTTTGAGCACTTGTACCTGAATCCCATAAAATGAATTATTTTTTCTAGATTACCTTGAGCCAAGTTGAAGTCTTCTACGAATCGTGAATCCATTGATGAAGGGGACACCAAAAGGGAGCACTTGACTGAAGGGGAGGTCACCATAGGGGGGAAACTCTTCTGAAATCGTTGATTGCGAAGCAAGAGGGCTGGCTTCTAGGATGGCCTCAATGGGGTCCCTCAAAGCTTGGGAGGGTATCTCAAACCGAGGAGGGGGGATTCCCTTAGCACCGAGGATGTTGCCAAAATTTTGAGAAGCAAGCAAAAGGAGCGACCTTGATGGCGGCCTTGGAGGATGTGGATGCGGATGGGAGATGGGTGCGATTGGGGGGGGGGAAGAGAAATTGGAGTGAGGGAGGGGCCACATGAGCTGCGACACCAGGTCAACAAGAGGAGAGGAAGTGGTGGACGAAAGGGTAGGGTGAGTGGCCAAAGCAAAAGAATAGGGTATGATGGCAAGTTGGCCTAACAGTTGGGGGATGGGGGGAGGAGGCAATGGAGATGAAGGGGCTAGAATGGGGGAAATTCCAAGGGTATGAGAAAACACAGCTAAAGTCAAGGCTAGAGCAAGATGTGGGGCGGGTAGGGTTGGGGAATTGATGTTGGGGGAGATTGACGGAAAGAGTTCGACAGGAGGAGGCGCGCGAAGGGCTCTAGATGGCGGTTGGATCATGGGAGATATTTGCCTTAAAAACGGTGACGGCATAAGGAGAAAGGACGTGGCTGCAGAAGATGAGGGAAAGGGCAGAGGTGGTTGTGCACATATTTTCGAGGAGGGCAGAACGGGGGGACACATGTCAGGCAAGGAAGCTACCATTTGCAAATGGGTGGTGGGGATCAGGAGATCCAGCTATGGAAACCAGGCTGGGAGACGGATGGATGGGAGAAAGGAATGCAGAGGATCAAAGCCGAGGGACGGAGAGAAAGTTGGGCAACGGGACCCGACAAGAAGGATTGGGCCACGGTGGAGAATGGCAACGGGTTCAGACCATCATGATTATAAGGGGGGGGGGGGAGATAATGATGGCCCACAAGATCAGGAAGCAAGGATTGGGCCACGTCATATGAAGGCGGCGGTTACTGGGTATTGGGCAGGGGAGAGACATTTGGCGGGCATGGCGAGGGTGGGGGAGGTGGGGAGAGGCTCGAGGACTTGCCAGGTTGTCCGGAGTGGACACATGGTTGCTCCCCATCAATGAACTCTTCGAAGGGCAGTCGAGGTTGGTTGCAGTTGTTCAACGAGGACACTGACAGCGTCAAAATCGCCCACGGCTCTTTCATTTCACTGTGGTTCATTCAAGGCAAACCACCGGACACAATGGTCATGTTTGGGAGCAAGGACGGGTTGAACGCCGTGGTCCTAAACATGGCGGTCAGATGGGGGGAGACCTGGGATTAGGAGATTATGAGACGATAGAAGAGCTCGTTGAACTCAAGCCAAAGGGTGGAGGGGATGAGATGAGGGATGAGGGAGTTGATTAGTATCACAGTTGATCCCAAAGGGAGGAACTATGTGTGTTTCCAAAAAAAATAGAGCCGAAAGAACCACAGTGGTTGCCTATCAGCTTAAAGGTTTTGGGATGGCAAGCATGGAGCGAAAAATTAGAGAATGTGCCAGAATCCCTAGTCCATTTCCTGAGAGTAAGAGATGTGCCCCTAAAAGAGGGAGAAGCCCACTTGAGGACCCACGTGGCACTTGCAATATAGGAGAAGGTGAAGAGAAATTTGCCTTGAGAGAGCCTGCGGCAAGCCAGGTTAAGTTCATTCCAAAGGCGCTTCCCCCGGTACTGCCTCGAAGATCGCCTCTAAGAGGCTGGAAGTGACCAACCAGAGCAAAAACATTGGAGAGAGACGGGAAATGAAGCCCTCCAGGTAGGGAGGGGATGAGACAAAGGAACGGGCCGAAACTTGTTGATGGGGGAAGGGTGGGGTATGATGAGAACCAAGGCGTCGGGGAAGAGGCCTGGGGGGGGGGGCGGCGGATGGGTGTAAGCGAGTTAGAAGGTGGGCTGAATAGGTGTGTAGCTGTGATAGAGAGGCCGGAGGGATGGGGATGCAAGGGAAGGCATGGGATGGGTGAGTTGGGGAGCTTGGTTTCGAGGCGTGAGAGATGGGGTGGGAGGGGAAGGAGGACGACGGGATCAAGTTCCCATGAATCTGGCTGTTACTTCATAACCATATGACCCATATGACTGTTTTCGTCGTAGTAAAATAAGCGACAATAAGGGCACTCCACTTGACCCAAGAACAATGATCCACTACTGTTATCTTGTCCAACCCAACAAAGACTCATGACCTACAATCTCAATGCAGGGGCTCATGATTGGCTTCTCAAAGTTGGACAATAAACAGTAGAATCAATGATCATGGAATGTGGGTTTCAGTCCTCCCTTTTAAAAGCAAGTTCAGCAATTGTCACCACAGTGCAAAAGGGGCTCTCTCTATACGCATGTACACGTGTCCCTCTATAGGGATACTACCCAGTTTTGCGATTGTCATTTATACATATCGTGTAGAAGGTTGTTGAGGCTTTGGCCCTTGCAATCACAAGTCTACAGCCGTACATAGAAGACAACACATTTCTACTGACCTACAAGGTCATCCCTACGCTTCTCTCCAACCTCAACAAGGGATGGTCCAATATAAACCCTTCTCAATAGTGCCACATGCCTAGAGGTAAGGGTTTTGGACATAACCAAGGTCATAAACTACCTAACTCATAGTCAATCAACACACACACTCCTACTAAAGCGTATATTCCACTTTTTTTTTTTTAGAAATATATTCCACAAAAAATTATCATTTTCACAAGCTCTCAGCACCTTTAAAGGCCACAAAACCCAACACTACACAAGTGACACTTCATGCTAACCCAAACGATAATGGAAACCAGAATTAGTAGCAAAGGATACCCATACATTTAATAATTAAAGGTTAAAATGAGGCCTTTGGCCTGTAGAGAAATAACAGTTAGATGTTGCCATGTTTCAACCAAGATGATCCCTAAGATGCTTGCCCAATGCTCCACCATTATTTCTTCATGTGGGAATTACCACAACTGAAACCGGTATACAAAAATGCAAATATGAATGGTCTACATGTCCAGCTTGATTTTTATTGCCACTCATGAGGTTCATAGTTTTACTCAACTTGTCGTACAACACGTAAAAAAAAATTAAGGGGAACGGAATTTGGTCAAATGCCAGCTTTTCTTTCAGGTAGCCTCTGAAATGCCACATAGCAAGATACAAATGTGGTCCTAATATCATGCAGGAAACACCAAACTGGAATGTCCTATGGACTCATCTATATGGTACTAGCAGATATAGTTCAATAACTTCACAGTAAGTGAGCAGAAGCATAAACTAGCATAATAGGAGGAGCGATAAAAACTCAACTGGGCCATAAAAGCATATATTCATCAGTGATTTGCAGGATTCGAATCAATGTGGTTATCGACAACAAACTCCAACAAGAATCCGAAATATCAAAATGCAGTGATCGGCAGGTATCAGAAAATTGGGAACCCGGTCACTAGTTGTCAAGAAGTAGATTTGTAGCCGATCTCTAAGACAATACGTCATCTATTATACTGTGCAAGCATGAAGAACAACAGAAGTATTCGAAATAATAATGGCAATGACAGTGTATGGAAAGTTGTGGTAATAATTCCAGGAATCAATTACTATCCTACGATAAATTTCAAATGTTTATCATTAAATGTAGATGATCAAGTTGATAGCATAAACATAATATACTGGATTATTTCTCCCTTTTTTGTTCGTGCTCGAATAAAGTAGTCTGGTATACACACAGGAATTTCACCTGAACATCACTCCATTCAACACATCGAAGGAACTTTGTGAGGGCTCTCTTTTCTGACATCAAGGAAAAGCGGAATTTCCACAATAATTGTCTTTCTTCCCCACTTAATGTGCGAGTTGGGGGATACTTCAAAATCATCTGTATTGCCCTGGGTCAAAGAATCTTCAAATGGTCAGACAGCCATTAAAATATTTGAAGATGGCATTCTAATTTAAAAAGTACATGGATCTCTATATAGAGGAAACAAAGGTAAAATCTCAAAACTTCAAAATTGTAAATGTGCAAGATCCGCTTAGCGCAGCTGAAACACAAAAATAGGCGTAGTCCGAAATCATCTGAAAATTAATCCAAATAAAAGTCCACGCAGATCAGCTGAGTCGAACAATGAGACATGCTTTTAGAAAATATGAAAGTCTACTACATTCAGAAAAGTTAGGTTAGGGACAATAATACTAACCCGAATTAGATAATTTGAATTCATTTAAACCTTACCTCAAGTCCCAATACACAAACTGAAGTGGTGAAAGTCTTAAAAAAAGATATTTGGATCCACATAGGGCCATAAAAGCATATACTCATCTGTGATTTGTCGTGTTCTGGATGATCAATTTGACGATATTTGGGCATCAAAACAACCTCTTCTAGTGAAATTTTGAGGTAGGTTCTAATTTGATTGTTTAGAGCCGAGGCTCTATATAAACCTTTCGCTCATTTTAATGATTCAAATCACTAGCCTTAGGACTCACACGTGGGTTGAAACACGTCAAAGTACATGTGTCAAGTGCATTCATATGACTGATGTAAACCAAGACCTGGTTGGGAGCAAATCGTCCCCAGTTAAGGCCAAGCATGGTTAGTGGATGTGAGAGCTGGATCAGGAGCAAGAATACGTGGTTGTCACTTGATAGATACTCCCTAATTTGGAGCGCTCATACAATAAATATAAAAAATAGTGAAAATTAAAAAATAATAAATACTAACTAAATTTATTGAATTAGATTCATTGATATTTGTAGTATATTTAACATACTTCAAAATATATATTCATAAAAAATTCAAAAATCATTTATTTACTGGATGATTATCATAAACAAATGTGCAATTATGTATTAAAAATATTCCTTAATCTTATATTGTGTGTTCAAAAAAAATATATCGTGAGATTTATTTAAATTATTTCAAATTTTCAATCATATCATAGACAAGTCCCTCCCCCTTTCCCCCAGTACAATGTTCTTCCTATGTGATTCTCAAACAATGTTTCAAAAACTGCAAGGCAGTCTGCCTAGCGCCCAGCGCACAGGCACTGGCAGGCACTTGAAGTGAAAATTTTTTAGATATATGTATATATATGTTGTTCAAATGCACATATATGCAGATATTTGTGTTAATTTTTTATTTTTTTTTGCATTTATATGCATCGTAATTAACTTGTTCCATGCAAATATATATGCATGAATGTTGAAACACATTCAAAACATTAAATCATTGAAAATTTAGTGAAAAGACATAAACAAGTCCATGGTACATTAGTCTCCAACTCTACAATCTGCACTCCATAGTGACACACGTTCATGATACACAAATAAAAGACAAGATGAAATACATAAGAGAAGTATAAAACCAATAGTCCAAATGTCTAATACATCTCAAAGCAATTGAGTTTGGGATGTTTGTAGGGTTTAGATCTGATATTTTCCCCCCCCTTTGGGGATTTAGAAAACCTCCAATACTTTTTTAAGACAAGTCCATGGGTTAAAATGACCCAAAATTCTCTTAGGGGACACTTTTATTCAACAAATAAGAGGGCCGTCCAGGCTTAGGGCATGTGCTGTAGGGCCCTTTGGGCGCCTAGGCGCTGGGCGAGCTGTTTCTTTGGACAACGTTCTCAAATAGTCAAAAGCCCAAAGAATAAGATAGAGAGAGACCATAACAAAAGATGAAAGATATATCAAATCTACAGGACCACTCCACCCATAACTTGAGCAAAGAAGGCACCCACTAACTACTCTTGGTTAGCATTAAGTCACTACCCCACACGCCCCACCTAATCTCAAGACACCTTTTTTCTTCTTCTTCTTCCTTTTTTTTTTTTCTGGCTACTCCATTTTCACAAATGATCAAAGCACCAAACCTTTTCTTAAAACATCAATGATGCTTTCTTTCTCTCTCTAACACAAGTATGATTAAATCACACCCAATATCTCAGGGGACTTTTGGGTTGCCCAATAAGGGCTTCTAGCATATCTTTTTCGTGATTCATGAGTTTGCAGCCGACATTCTTTCTAAGGAATTGGAAATTGTCGTGGACATTAGATAACATATATCGAAAGGATGAGGGATCTTGTTTTCTTTCTCTATCTAGTCAGCATCATGTTAGGAAGATGACCTATTAAAATCTCATACATTACCCGCATCCATATCCCACAAAAGCAAACATATATGGAACCCACCACTCCTTCCATTGGAAGTAATTTGAAAGGATTTGATTTAAGCTTTTCTTTATAATTATCCTTTAGAAAATTCTCAGGTATGGGATTCACACTCCTCACAAAATGGGATCATAATTCTGCTATGTGAACATGCGATCTAAATCAAGAAGCAGGACCGCCACCTATGTTGGGTGATCCCAGTAACTAAGGTCAAATCTGCATAAGCCAACCCATTGTCCAAATGACTAACAATTTGAGGAAGGGCATCCCAAATTGACAAAAGTTAGAACTTTAGCTCAGCAAAACAGGGGATAGAAAGTTTTAAAGGTATAGAAAGGTACAATTATGCTATTCCTAAAACCAAAATTATCTTCAAGATGTTATGGCATGAACATGATTAAAATGGTACTTTGAATGATGAACGGAAAGATTTTATACAACATGACAACCTTACACTATTAAAAGTAAGGTGCACCACAAAAAGCTTCTAGAAGAGAGTGTTCCAACATTAGAGAACCCTCTAACTTATCATCTCGACTTCAAGATGTGTGGATATGAAGAAAAAGAGAACATCAAGTCCTAAAAATAGCTCATCTTATAACAAGTTATCTAGACCGTCTATTTTCACGACTTTTCAAGTGTTTGTAGCTCCTCGATTTGTAACATCTTTCAAATTCTAAATTTCATAACTAGGAATGAAAACATATTTTCAAACCATGATAAGGTTTATGACAACAGAACTACATCTCCAAGCAAATTTTAGAGATGCGCCTTACTTTTACAGTATAAGGAAGGCACGTTATAAAATCCTCACTCAAAGAAAAATATTCCCCTTTCTATATGTTAATCAAAATAAACCAAGAATTTCCCATTAGTACGTTTGGAACAAATATTAGTCCTCATCCTATAATCTTTCTAGAATACAACCAACTGGTAATTACTAAATACAAACATCATGTAGCAGTAAGTCCTAGATAGCTCTTCTCAAAAGCACATTTAAGAAATCATCTAATTGTTTATTAAGACTCAGTATCCGCATGGACTCACAAAACAACTCACCAAACACATATTATAAGATATTATAAGGCAATATCAATTAGATCGAACTAAAAAACAGCCCACTAATTGGCGACCGACTATGCATACACACGCCAAGGCTGCTCTCGGTGAACAATGCTGTAGTGATCACATGATTTTCTCCCAGTTTGTGTTCACCAAATACTCCAGAGGACTGATTATTGTATGACATCTAAGCCATAGCAATGAGAAAACCACAAAAAAGTTTCCAATAGGTGCCCTCCAATCAGCACCTTTTGAATGTACGTTTATGTGTACTTGTGTATGCATGCACAGATTGATATATACGCAAATTTCTTAGTGGTACTGAGAAAAAGAGCAAGAGTGAGATCCAATAGGGCACAAACTAGAAGAATTAAAAAACAAGCCACCAAAGTAAACCATACCAAATTTAACCTTATTGCCACTGTCATATATATAATTATGTGCCATTTATAATTGCATAGTGTGTGCAAGTGGATTGGATATACACACACAAATGGATATCTACAAAGACGATGGTGCAAGTTCTTGGCTGCAATTGTGCATGCATGCAATAAAGAATAAAACATCAAGCTTACTTTCTTTCATTAGAACTTGGTTTCAGGTCCCTATCAATAATACCACGAGTCAAACTCCTAGCAAGCTTGAGTTGCTTGTGCTCAGAAGGATTTATTCTACCAACTTCTGGATCCCATACAATAACAATTTCATTTGTCGAAGATACAGGAGATGGGCAAAGAAAATTTGCTCCTGATTCCTGCGAATTCCAAGGAGAGAAATCAAAATTCACGATGACGACCATTCATTCAATTAACAGATGTGTGCTGATAAACACCAAAATTTCCTCAAAAATAAAAGACTGAAACTTACCCTCATGAGAAAACACAAAAAAGCAAAGAAACACAGTCTGGATTATAGTTGTTGGAAATGCATGTGATTCTGAATCATTTCAGGAATCGGAATCACAAAATCAGGGGTGGCTGATAATTGCTATAATCGGAATCACAGTACGTACCATGCATATCACATGAAGCTGGATTCCTACCATTTAGGAATCGCACTCCGGTCCAATAGGAATCGCGACTCCTGCCTTGTTGGAATCACAGTCCCATCAACTTGGAATCGAGATTCCTAACTTGGGAATTGCATACCAAACCACTTGGAAACATGCCACAAATTATCAAAAAAAAAAAGTTCCAAAAGGCAAAAGATTTAAGGGTTTAGATTATTTATAAGAAATGATTCATAAGTATTGGACTCTATAAATTGAGAATGATTCATAAGTATTGGACTCTATACATTGATAATACTTACTTAGGGCTCCCCTAATGTCTTTGATAGCCCTCCCTTAACATTGGGGTCGATTTATTGAGTGCCCTTTATCACAGTTCTCTACAAGTGTTGGAAATAAGGTCGAGTACCCTTAACTAAGTACTTTCCTAGAGTTTTTAGATTGAATAAAGAAAATAAAATTACTTCATTACTAATAGAAAATAAGACACTTATTACAGTTTCCGAAATTTAGGAATGATCTAATCTAGAGTATGTCGACACCCATAGAATTTTTGATAACCATCACATATTACCAGTTATAAAATTTTGAATAACAAAATTTTTCAAATAATGTTTAAAAAATTCAAAGCATTCCATAAAATTTTGGCAACCATTATACCACATGACTTGTTAAAGGTGTTAACAAATGCGATTCAATCTAAAATCGTGATTCCTAACTTCTAGGAACAGGGATATGTGGTGATTCCTTCATAGAAATGCAGAATAGAATGGACGATTCAGGTAAATATAGTTCGGATCACGAAAACATGATAATACTCTCTTCAGTAGTCTATTTCACAGTGATTGCACTCAAATATACATCTCGTATTGATCCTTGATCCATGTCATTCTACACTAACCATGGAATGAATGATGTGTTCATATAAATACCCCATCCAACAAAATACAAGAAAAATTCTTCTCCTTTTTTCACAGCCTGAAAGGATCTAAAATTAATAAATAAACATATCACCAAGAAAACATTTGAATAAAAAAAAAATTCAAATAATGTCTAGAAAATTCCAAGCATTCTATAAACTTTTGGCAATCAGATGGATGATTCAGGTAACTATAGTTTGGATCATGAAAAAAAGATAACACTTTCTCTTCTATAGTCTATTTCACAGCAATTGCACTCAAATATACATCTTATATTGATCCTTGATCCATGTCATTCTACACTAACCAATGGAATGAATGATGTGTTCATATAAATACCCCGTCCAACAAAATACAAGACAAATCCACTCCTTTTTTCCCAGGCTGAAAGCATCTAAAATTAACAACTTAATATATCACCAAAAAAACTATTTGTCTTGGTGATATTGATACTTAGAACATGGACTGCATAGAGTCCAAAAAATCATGATTTGAGAGAGAGATGGAGAGAAAGAGAGAGAGAGAGTATGCCACCTCGATCATGTCCAATCTATATGACGCAGATTCAAGTGGAGCACTTAGGAGCTTTTACCCTGTTTCTTTTAATGAATAGTGCAATTACGAGCTTGAGCCATTCAATTAAATAAGTGAACGCATGCTCTAACATGCAAATTCATAATGATGACAACTCCTAAAAATAAGAAAAACATACTCCAACCAGAACCAATCCACTCCAATCAAAACCAATTTACAAGTATCAGAAAGTTCTTTGAATGAAGAACAAGGCATCAAACATGAGTACACAATTCAAATGCTCATAGAAGTTAGACATGTGATACTGATCTTATTAGGTTCTTATCATATGTATAAACTAACCTGAAACACAACTCTGTGTTCAAAACTGCAGAAGTCAACTATTAAATGCAATTGAGAATTCGTTCTTCTCCAACTTTCTCTTTCTTTCATTTGTTCAATAGCTTTAAATGCTAGATGGTCTAGCCAATCAATATGCTGCATCTGTCCCCGTTCGTACTTATTTAGAAGCTTCTCTAAACGCTCCATCTCCCCACGCTCATGTTTGGGAACCTGTCAAAGGAAATATAAGTAAACAGTATGTCCAAACGCTACAAAGCCTCTAGCAATTGTCAGGACATTGATATGATAAGCAGTGGGTATATGAAACCAAAGGAACTTGAGATTCCAACTTGAAATAGCATATCTAAAAATACTAATAAAATAACTCTTCATAAACCTTGCCAGGTGTTTTTGTGGGAAATGATCCATCTGCTTCTTTGCCGCGCCAGAGCCTAAGCATTTGTTTCCCAGTTTTAAGTTGCTTTTTGCCACTGAAGAGGAGGATGGTGGTTCCACCAACTGGTTCCTCATCCTGTTTGCAAACATCCCAGACCTGGAAAGCCAACAACATATTAGAAAAGCTAGCAGATCCATCATAGTTGTAACTACAACAATACAAGAAAATACCTCCAGAAAAGCCAAGCTAAGAGCATAAAGGCACCAATCATTATCAAATGCTGAATTCCAAAACCATAGCATTGGAGCAAATTCTAAGTATATTTTATGACTGGAGTTGATGTATTTTATCAGTTAAATTTTTTTTGAACTAACTGAGATATAAAAGGCATAATGGAGCCACAAAAAGAAATGGTAAAACATGAAAAGAAAAAGAACAATAATAATTGAATTAATTAAAATGCAGAACATATTCCAACATCATGGTAATCAAACCACTTGAGAAATTATTAAGAGAATCATGCATAGAGTATAGAATATTGTTGCTAAAAGTGCCTGCACATACAGTTACTAGATTGATACATGTATGTACAACCTAAACTCAAGGATGCTGGGAGAGAACCACCAAGTCGCTGTACATATCAAACGTAATCCATAAGAAAAACTGGCCCAAGCACAATGAGAATGAAACTTCACTGCCACAATAAGGCATGGGATTGATACAGGTGGCATAAGCTGAAAACTCGATTTAGGGCAAGAGACGCGAGTAGTGTGCATTTACCAAAAGATCCTTGTATGGGGTATATTACTCTGTGATTAGGTTCTGGTGCTGTTCAAGCAAGTGTCGAGTCATGAGATTAGAACAATTTAGGCAGGCCTATCTTTTAAATGGTTTCCATGTTGGGTTTGTTGGATGGTGTCAATATTCCAGTAGGGACAGTGGAAAGACAAGTTTGATTGTGACAATGGAAAAGGAATGCTTTAGGTATGATTCTTATGGGGCTCAATGTGCACCCGGCAGTGATAACAATCTACGAAGACTGGTGTCGTGGGTCTTTCTGCTTCAAATATAGCTGGATTCGGGTGGGTGGCCCAATACAGATAACAATATTCTTATTGGAAATCATTTGCAAACTTACTTATTCCGATTTCCCAAGTTATATTTGACATGTAGACAAGAGAAAGTCAGTCTCTCTTTCAAAATGAGGCTGCTGTTGGAGTATTGGGTTCACTGGAGTGAGATATTTTCCTTGTGCAGGGGGGCAATAACCTACTGACAGAGAGATGCAAGGGTTAAAAGAAAACCATTTCAGAGAGGATTTTTTCAACGGTTGGCCCCTTGACAAGATTAGCACTTAGCAACACAAAAACAGCAAGTCATGCTTTCGGAAAATCAGCAGGTCAGAACCAGCTCATGGAACCCCACCTTCACAGGATGACTTAACAATGACTTCTGACAACAGTTTTAGCAGTGGCATCTAGTCATTAATGAGACTTTACACATGTACATGGACATTACTTTCCTTGCAGGAGATCCAAATATATAGCATGAGCTTCTTCATGGGGAAAAACTAATGCTCAAGACACAAGCAGCTGCAAACTGGGCTAGATCTCAAGACAATAACATATTGGATATTTTATATGTGCTGGTTGACATTCAACTAGCTACTTCTTAGGTATTGAGCTATGTCGGATCCAGATGGAGCCAAAAGCAATATCTTTAATGTAACATAATTCAAGAAGTACTTTCATGCACTTTGAGTATCATTGTATGGTCCTTAAAGGAGCGTATTCCACACATGCATGATTTAGACCAAGTGAGCTAGAACATACCCCAATGACGCATACAAAACTTCATTGGTTCCTTTCGACTCATCTACAACATTTTTTTCATGGCTCCTTCACAATATGCAACAAATCTTAAAAGTCATCCAAGCAAGTTAACAATACACATTAAATGATAGAGATTGGAAAATTTAGTATATCATTTTTCAATGAATAGCCTACACAGTACAGAATATAGGCGCTTTAGGAATCACAACTTCGACTTGATGTTAAATGTTGATAAAATTTCAGCAATGGTCCATACACATGCTAGGCTCTCATCGATATGTAACTTTATTGAGTCAAAAACCTACAAAGAGGGAAGAACTGGAGAAATCCCAGCCCAAGGGGCACAAAACGTACTCAGAGATGAGAGACACAGAGGTTCTTTTCAGGACCTTCTAGGGCATGTGTTGTGAATATCAAGGCTTATAGTTGTCTCTGTTGTATTTAAGTCCCCAAGGACTTAGTTTTCTTCACCGAAGGACAATATTGTACATTAGTAAAAATAACAATATATACAAGGAAAGAGAGGTGCCTGGGGTTAAGATAGACCCACCTTGACCTCTCTCTCTCTCTCAATTTCTTCATTGCTCTCTCTCTCTAGATCTCCTTCCTCATTTTCTTCCTTCTTTTTCCTATAATCCCATTGCATATTTTAACTTGATATAAGAGCAGGTGACTTTGGCACAGTTTTCAAAACCCTAAGGATTTAATTCGACTGTGCAAGGGTCTCTATTAGCCATAGGGTTAGAAACCCCAAATCTGAAATATTCAGTATGGAATGTAGAGCCCCAATTTCATAGTTGCCTCTTTTGAGGTTGGATTAGAAACCCTAGATCTGATTGGTATGGTTCGATGGTGTTCAAGCTTTGTTGTCAAACCCCTCAAATGTGACGCACTCTTGTCTGAGTTGTGAAACTCATCCATTATCTGAGTTGTGAAACTCATCCATTATCCAAATCTCTTGTGTGGATGATCTTGAACCCTGTGGAAGTAAATTTGAGTGGCCGATCATGCTGATCGATGTGTTTTGTTGGTGTGTACCTGCTGTACTGCAGTCAACATGTCCATTATTAGACATTCAAGCCACACTCTTCCACCCAGGTGTAACCTCCCATACGGTTATCTATGGAGATAACCCTAGACTGCACATTATCATTGTCAACCTTGATGGGACAAATTATTTTAGAGTGCTCCAATCTGTAAAAATGTTTATTGATGGAATGTGGAAACTGGAGCCGGGCACATCAATGGTAAGATTACTGAACCATAAGAAAAATAAATTCACATAACAAGTGGGAAACCAAAAACTTTGCCATAATGTCTTGTTATTACACTCTATGCAACCATTGACTAGTAGGAGCCGCTCGTTTCTTTGAAACTGCAGGAGAGATTTAGGACTTGGTATATCAACTTAGTCACAAAGCAAAAATGTGGCTCGAGAGTACCAAGTGAGACAGGAATTTGCTATCTTCTACAAGAGGGAGGGATCTCTTGCAACATATTTCTCCTTACATCGTAACATGCGTATAATTGTTCGAGGCGGGAGCGGGTTTGGGAGCGGCATCGGTTCAAGGAATGCCATACTGTCATAGGGTGGAAGCTCCTTGGGGTTAGGATCATGTCCATACATTCAACACATGAAGGAGCTAGATCCTAGAATACTTGAGACCGAGAGCCCATGTCACTGGGATGAAGGTTTTGACCTAGAGAGATCCAAGCTCAACTACACGTAAAACGAGGTTATTTAACAGAATATCATAAAATTAGGATAGAGCTAATGCCCACTCAATCCATTATCATACACCTTAGCTTATTATGAATGCCATACTTATAGCACTCTAATTTACCAATGCCATATTAAACACTAGTTTTTTACTATCACGTCTCTAGTATATTATGATGTGATATGCAGCACAGGTTAACATATTCTAAAAAACTTTCTAGAATCTTAAGGAGAGGAGCAATAGTTCAATTAGTAGTATAACTCCTCTCCTAGGAGGAATCCTACAAGCATATAGACCGAGATCCCATTTTATAGGGAACGAGATCCCTATTTCTCTTAACCCAGCTCCCTCTTAAGATCCCTTAGAGGAACCGCGAGATCGAGTTCCTAAGGTGGGATCGTGGCCTTACCCCCAAGGTTTCCATAACTATGAGCATGTGAGGGGAATGGGACCACTATCAGATGTTTAAACCAGTCTGTAAAGATGATGGGAAGAAATAAAAGCATTTTTTTTTTGTTTTGAAACGGTTAACGTTTGGGAAGAAACACAAGCAGTTTGTAGAACACAATCATAGTTTTGATAACTAGGGGATACTAAATATTGAGTTTGAGTAAGGTAGGGTTCAAATACTTAGTAGGGATGCTCCTCCATCACTCAATTAGGTGTACTGCTTTGTTCAAAGTGAGAAGAGTAGAAAATGTGCCACACTGCCTACTCAAGTAATTTTTAGCTTCAATACCTCCTAAGAACAACAAGGAGGGTGGACCACGGCAATTTGGAAAAGGGGATTCTAAACAAGGAGATAAAAGACAAGTTAAAATGTGATCAATGTGGTAACAATGATCACATTAAAGAAACTTGTTGGGATCTAGCTGATCAACTAGCTAAATTGAATTGTCCATGTCAGTTTAATGATCATAATTCTTCACCCACTACAACTACGATTAGTACCGATCAACCATTACACGATGCAATCAAACCTCCAAGGAGATTGAGAACCTTTGCTAGTTGTTTGCCTGGTTGGGCGGCCCATCCATTACTTCACCCTTTGCATACCCAAGTATTCGTGCCTCTGCTCATCATGTTTCTTTTACTCCATTTGGACAATCCTGGATCATTGATTTAAGAGCCTCAAATTACATGACTGGTATGTCTTGTTCTCTTTTTATTCCCATTGTTCTAGTAAAGATAAAGTTAGGGTTGTTGATGGATTTTTTTCTCTACCACTGGAAAAGGATGTAAATATTTCTCCTTATAACATTCTTATCAGCTCTTCATGTTCCCAATTTTTCTACAAACTTAAATGTCTGTCTATAGCATTACCATGAGTCCACATTGTAGTGTATCTTTCTTTCCTTCTCACTATTTTTTAAGACCTGGATATGAGGAATGACAATTGGCAATAGCCATGAAGCCGGTGGTCTCTAAATTCTAGACTCAGGAAATACACCCCTTAAGCCCTTTAGTTCAACAACAATGATAATAAAGACCGGATTTAGCAATGGCACCTCCTACTTGGTCATTTGTCCTTTCAGTCATTAAAAGTTTTGTTTCCTAAGCTATTTAGTTAGACTAGTGTGTCAAAGCTTCAAGTGAGATTTGT